TCTATAGAGTGTTACCAGAGTACTTGTGCAGTTTGTTAACAGAAATTTGGGATTGCTGTAGGCAGTAGCTTGAGAAATCATATGAGCTATAGTCTAAACTCCGAGTATCCCCCTTAATAAACCCTATAATAGTCCCCCATACAATCCCTTATATAACGCCTTTTAAGGAGTTTAGACTATAGCCCATATCAATGGCTGTGGACTCTGGAAACAGCCCCAGCTCGACCCAAACTTGCCAATACGATGCTGGCCAATTCGTTTTGATTCGCAACCATCCAAGGGTTGTATGGGGACCCTGCCAGGATTATGCAAGGACTACATAGGAGGTTCGTGAAGTATAATGTAGGAAATATGTGTGCATTGTTTTTCAGGCTCGGGCTTAAGCATCTGCAGGGCGGTACAAAGATGGGATACGGATAAGGCTCATCAATGCTCATGTAGACGTCATTCCCAAGAACTTCGGAAGTCTTATTGAGAGATGCTGTAAAAAAATGGTCTGCGGGCGATTTGGTGTGTAGGGGTCCGTCGTTGGCTTGATACTGCTACTGCCTGGACTTGCGGTCTGTTCAGTACAGTCTCTGACCCACCTCTGGAGACTTCATATGGAGCTTTTTGCTCATAGGCCCTGACAGACCGTAAATTGACCGGAAACATAGCGAGCTTCTAGGGAATGCCCAGCACAGCGTCCCTTTCACCCTCAGCTTAAGATCCTTTTGTTTTATGTTCTTTTGAGGACTGGGTGGCGCACCGTCGACCATGGCAGAAGCAACAAGCTCTGCGATTTGCATGCGCAGATCGCCTGGGCAGAAACACCACCACAGGATCAGGGACTGCTATGTCAAGCTACGGCTCGGAGCCTGGTATACATCTGAGAACAGCTGCTTTAAGTTTGGAATCGTGGGAGAGCTCTACGGTGGCGCGATTATCATCATGAAGCGCTCGAGGACTTGACACCCAAACCAGTCGCTGCACTCCCTGAAACCCTTACCTGACAGCTCTTGTACCGTCCTTTTCGCTGGACTAACAGACCTGGACCCGAGGGGCATCAAAACATGGACGTCTATGTGTGGCTGCGAGAAGGCAATGTTCTGAGCATCGCGCGGCATTCGTTTCGCACGGCTGCCGCCTTGGCCTGCACGAAGGCACACTACATTCGGCTGGCTTCTCGCTTGGCCTGGTTTCCGTAAGAAACCAATGCACAGAAACCCGTCCTTATGTATTCTGCCGTTTCAGTCATCTGCAGAATGGAGGTTGGTCGTGGGCACTTAGGAAGAAGATTCTTCCATGACACAACAGTCACGACAGGCGATGAGAATATCAAAGGCGAAGGGGCAGGCCCCTACTGCGGCCCATAGGGTTTATAGAGGGGTTTTGAGGTGTTATTTAAGGATAATGGAAGAAAATGGAAAGTACTATTTAGGGTTTTAGGGTTCTCAAGTTGCGAGCAAAACTTGTCCAGCTCAGTCGCAGATACAACCCCGCTTCCCACATGGACTTCTAACACTGAGCCTGGGGGCCTCCGGCGGAACTTGACTCCGCTAGCAGGGCAGATGCAAACGGAGTGTGGGACCCCTCAGCTACTCCGCAAGATCTTTGTATCCTAGAATACACAATAAACGGTCAAGTAGCTCAAAACTTTTGGCCCACCGTGTATACTGGACACGCACTCTGGGCAAAGAAGCGGCAGGCTGCCACAACCAACCTTGCAAGCGATGAGCCTCCCTCACCATACATGCCCTACAGGAACCAATCCTGGCGCAAAATGGACTTTTGGTTCTGAGACTCCTCCGCTGAAGCCTCTTGCTTCTGGGCTGGCCTCATCCGCCTTCAGCTCAGCCACACGCTTCCGAAGGGCGACTGCAACCTGCGCCAGCATTGACGTTTCAGGTTTACCGGCGATGCTAAGGTTTGGGGAGCTTGAAGCTCTAGGGTCTAAGGGTGGGATTTCGAGGTCTTCGACTCGGTGTTTCGGAAGCGTGGGAGCCCCAAATAGAGCGCAAATGTACAGGCAATACGCTGGATGTTCATGGGGAATCACGGTGCAGTTGTTTAGGAAGAGTGGAGCCATGAGTCTCATCTGTTGAAGTCCACAAGTCCAAATGTTCACGATGTAGGGCTCTGGGAGCAGATCTAGGGCTTTGCGCACTGTTGCTTCCTACCCAGGCTTAGGTTTGTAGTCGTTGAGTTCTGTTGTCGAACATAGGAAGGAGGGGGTATTGTTGAGTTGCTTGAAGAAACCACCCCCGGCCTAGCTGGGCCTAGCTTCCACCCGTGAGGAAGCTTGCATCGGGAATCACATGATCATCTTTGCCAGCTATGAGGCTACAGGCCTCACGCTCGACGCAAAATTGTGATGCCAATGTACCTAGCCTAAGCAGGCTCCTTGCGTTTCCTCCTGCACTAGAAACCCAGTGGAACCTATGACTTGTGGCGCACGACAACTAGAATTTCCGAGTACTCTTCGCTAAGGGCATGCCAAGCTTTGAGTTGATATGACATACAGTTGCATCTGTATGATGCAATTGGGGGAACCGCCGTATGCTTTCTCAGGCGACTGTGTGCAACCCTAGCCTGAGAAACGTGGGATCCTCACTTCTTCCACGTACCACCAAAACAGGACTCAAGTTCAGGGGAACAGAAAGGGACATGCCGGGTTTTCCACTATCCTAAATTTCCTAAATCCTAAAAACCCCCAACCCTCCACCCTAAACCCCAAACCCTAAACCCTAACCCTGAACCCACACATGTTGCATGTTGCCTCCTCTAAGTCCTCTGCCCTGGCCCCTCGAGTCTCGAGCTCAGCAACTTCATCGCGGAGCCTTTGGCAATCCTCCTGGGGCTCAGGGTTTAGGGATTTGGGGTTTGGGGCTTTGGGGGTTTTAGAAACAAGGTGTGGGGGTTTAGGTTGTAGGGCTGAAGGTGTAAGATGTTGACTTTGGGGCTTGAAGACATTCAGATTTAGGGCTTTCGCTTCGGGCTGCAGGGTTTGCGGTGAGGGGTTCTAGGCTGCAAGGTTTCGAGTCTCGGGTGCCGCGTAGTGCTTCAACTGAAGGTTTCTGACAGATGGGATCCCTTCCGAGGGCCTGAAGAATTTATTGCAATGATCCTGGTTACAACTAATCCCCCCCCCCCGCTACTACCAACAACCCCGCCCCCCCGCAGGAAAAATATTTCCCGTGATGTGCAGTGATACTCTCTGGGGGATACTCATAAGTGGGGAGGGCGAGGTCATTAGGTGGAAGGACTATTGAGCTCACCTCTTGGCCTGTGAAGGTTGTAGGCTCCAGGATTCAGGGTTGGAGCTTCTGGGTTTATATTTCAGGCTTCAGACTGCAGTGTCGTGTCTCAAGTTCAGATGGATCACTTTTTCATACCCGCGGAGTCTGTGATTGAGTGTCGTTTTCTGACTGGGAACTGATGATACTACGAGTCTCGGGGGAATTGGGGTTTGGGTTTTAGATTTTAGGGGGGGCAAGGTGAGGGTTGGGGCTCCAAAAAAGGGAAACAACAGCCGGATGGCGCCCCACTGCTTCCACGCCCTGAACCCTAAACTCCAAAAGCCCTAAACCCTACCAACCCTCAACCCAACAATAACCCTAAACCCTAAACCCTAAATTCTAAATCCTAAACCCTAAACCTAAACCCTAAGGGGACTCGTATTTTCAGATTTATCCCCACACAAGAAGCTGAAGAAGCAGTGAACCGGTCCTCCAATTGCTTGACTTCTGCTTTGGTGGGCACCTCCTTGCCAGGAACCTGCCCCCCCAATTTCTGTGCATTGATCCCAATATCTTATATAGGGGCTATATAGGGATATTATAGGGATTATATGGGGGTTATATAAGGATAATGGAAAAGAAAATGGAAACTCCAATTTAGGGCTTAGAGATTTTTATCCCAATAACCCCACTTCCGTGTAATCTTAAAATAGGGATATCATAGGGATTATATAGGGTTATATAGTGGTTATAGAGTTATATAGGGATAATGGCAAAGAAAATAGAAACTCCAATTTAGAGGGTTTAGGGAGATTGTCCCAATCATTGAGAGTCAAATGGAAAAGATGGAAAATGAAATGGAAACTGGGGATGACGACGGGTTTATAGGGATCATGGTTACTCACCAGAAGTCGATGGAGTCTTGGGGAGCAAGTTAGGGTTTACAGACTTGTGGGGATTCGTGGTCAGGATTTTGCAGGCTGCGTTCTGAGGACTGAAGTTAAAGTCACCATTACTGGGCAAGACCTGTCATCCAACATTGTGGCTTCAAAGTATAGTCTCCCTTAAGTAGATAGAATATGACTTTGGGTATCTTATAATAAGATTCCCATATACCCCATATTCTATCTACTTAAGGGGGACTATATGAAAAAACTAAACTCTAAGCCCTGGCATGTAATCACGGCAGAGACTTGTTGTTAGACCCTTCCTTGCACCATACATCCCTACACTAAAGAACTATATCATCCAAACATGGTCATCCCAGACAAAAGAGGTAGAACTAAAACGACGGTAGCTGCAGCCCGAATACTGTCACCCGTCAAGTGGTCACCTAGTTTGTTCAACTCGGCTTTAACAAGGGTCTGAAAGAAGCAAATGCCTGTCATAGAACGATGAGCATTTTGGATGAGTGCATGGTATTGACAAACGGCGTTGCCACCGAAGCAAAACTCCAAAATAACTTCATACGCAAAAACCTTGAGATCTATGTCCTCCCATCTCCTAAACCCCAAAGAAGCTAATTCAGTCCCTTACCCAAGTAACTCCTAAAAACCCTGAGAGGAACCCCCCATGGCATGAAGCATCTCTACTGCCTATCTAGACGCTAGACGCTTAACCCCACACCACTTCATTTTCCATGCTTTTCCATTTGACTCTCCATATTACCTCTATTTCCGTATGTAACCCTATAGAACCCCTATATCTCCTACAGCCCAAGCCCAAAAACCTAAACCCTAGAACCTAAACCCTAAACCACCTCGCAGAAATCCCTGGGCATGCCTCAGGCTCAGCACAACTGCCCGTGCCGCCATCGCTCTGCGAAGCCTCCGGCATCCTTGCACAGGTGATTTAGGGATATACCCCCCCTCAAGTAGAGAATATGCGTTTGACCATAACCATAATAAGATCCCCATACATATATTCTATCGATTTAAGGGGGCCTATAGATAGGCTTTGTGCAGCAACCACGTCAATCATGATAACAATTTCGATGATAAAGAATGGTGACTGCTGAAAGAAGATGAGCGGATGCAGCGCTCGCTGTTTTCAGATGGTGTTGAAGTTTAGCATGTCACAGAATTCTTCCAACCGTTCAAGTTAGGTTGGAGCCACGGAGACAAACAGCAATTGTATTCACTAATGGCCCCAGCACTACAAAAAAGACTTGCATTTCCTGAGAAGCTAGGCTATCTAGGCTCATTCAGCAAAGCCAAGCTTCATCGGCTTGAATCAGAGGGTCAACTTATGTAGGATGATCAAACCTATGTGCAGAGATCTCTTGCGGGGGCAGGCCGCCAAGTTTGAACAGACTCTCTCCTGCAAACCAAGTAGCTGACATGCGGGTCTGTCCATTAAACTGCAAGATACGCTACGATAAGTCACTCTGGGTAATTTTTGGAGTACGCTTCGGGTGCAAACCGAATTCCCGCCGAGCCTTCCACCTGCTGGATCATTGAGGACCTTCTGCAAGCTTTTCATGGCTGCTGCCATGTCAGTGCAACGCCCACGCAGCTTCTCCACATCGCTGGCAGGCGGCTGCTTCACATCAGCTCTCCCTCCCCCTGCAGGCTTCAAAACGCCGGTCAGGGATGCCTTCAGAGGGTCGAGCAAGTCCAGGACTTTCCAGCACTGCTTGGCCGCAGCCCACAAAGCTGGGGACTCCAATGATGAGACACTCTGACACCGTCGATTCTCGGGAGCTCCAGGCGAAGGTGGCGGGACATCTGCCTGCGATGCCTGCGGAAGCCGCGGCTGCGAACAGCTCTTGAGCCCTGGGCCTGAGCCCGGCGGCACTTGCCGGTGCGGGCGCGAAGTGGCTGAGACTGCTGAGGTCGATGAGGTCGATGAGGCCGCTGTAGCCACCGCTGTAGCCACCGCTGTAGCTGCCGCTGTGGTGTTCCTGTCCGGGACAGACCACGGGGATCGGCGAGGCCCACGCGGCGTTATGCCAGTGCTGCTGGCTGCCAGGGTTGTTCGTGTGCCAGGCGAAACCACGCGCTTTGAGGTTGGCGAGGTGGAGAAGGCTGCACCTCGATTACGTGGCACTGGGCAGCCCCGAACCCTGGGAGGTCCCAAAGTCTGTATCCCAACTTCTACTGTACAAGCTGACCCCTGAAATATTCAAAGGAGGCTGGAACGACCAGCACATCAGTTCAAAGAGTGACTGTTACAGCAAGAACCCTCACGGCCACATCTTGCACGTTGCAGAAACCTACATGAAAGTGTCTAAAACATCTAGGCCACTGTGCAGGGGTCTTGAGATGAAGACTTCTGGTCAAGGACTTATGGCTTCGGGCGATTAGTTTGAGGTTTAGGGTTTGGGGGTGTAGACTTAAAACACTTCCACGTTCCCAAAGAGCAGCTCGATCGCGAGCTGCGCTGCAGAACAGGGCTGAGCCTTGGCGATCCACCCCATTGGAGCCCTAGAGTAATATAGGGAGAATGGAAAAGAGAATGGAAACTACTATACTATATAGGGGTAATATGGGAGAATGGAAAGGAAAATGGAAACTACTATAGTTATAGGGGTAATATAGGGATAATGGAACAGAAAATTGAAACTACTATACTATAATAAGGTATGACCTTGAAGAGACCCTGACGCCCCAAACCTCCAGACTCTGGCGCCTGGACCCAGAACCCTTACACCCCAAACCTCTAGACTCTGCTGCCTGAACCCTAAATCCTAAACCCCCTAAACCTGTAGACCCAGCACCCTAGGGCCTGGTTCTTCAGACCGCCGGGCCTGGGGTCAAAAGTCGAATCTACTTACAGAAAAACACAGGTAGCACGAAGAAAGACTTCAGAAAGTCTCAATACCCATCTATCCAGCTCCGGGGACTTGGAAAATGGCACTTGTAGAGTAGGTTCTTTGGAGAAATCCGCTCATTTTCTAGACTTCCTGCCAGTGCGAAGGATGTAATAATGCAGGGGTCTCGACAAACTTGCTAGAAGTAGGTTGTTTTGACAGATTACCAAAGCACCTTGGACATGTCTAGGACAACTGTTGAGAATTTGGGCAGTCGGTTCCCAGGATTAAGGTTTAGGATTTAGGGATTATAGGGTATATATGAGGGTTATATAATAGGGAGAATGGAAAAGAAAATGGAAACTACTATAATGGGATTATATGCTGGTGGGTCTGGAAAGGTTCCTGGTCCTCATGTTCAGTGCTTGCACTACGCCCCAAGGTCCTGGAACAAAAGGATTTCTGGCGTTTTCACAAGAAAAAAATAGGCTGCGTGATCTGGGACTTAGGCCTTCGAAGGTTGTGAGATGATGCTATCTAACGACGTGCATTCTACATATGGGTTGTCAAAATTGTGGTCCCTTTTTGGATCCCTATTATAAATCAACGCCTAATACTTAGGGTTCCCAAAAAAGGGATCATGATATTGACAACCACCCATGTGATATGACACTGCGGCGGGCCGGAAGTTCGTTGCACGCTTCTTCTTGTTGTGTAAACTTGCTAAGCCTCTTCCCCCTTGGACTCAGTTAGAAGCTGTACGGTTGTAATCCTGGGTGATACTTCCTACGAGGCCGTTGAGAATTGGTTTTTCGGCGCTCCGTGTCCCTCGCCATGTGGCAAGATGTAGATACAACAAACTTTCTTCCTGGTGATGCATTAGACCGTTTGTTAAGCATCTTTCGGTGGAGCACTTCAGACCCGGGACTTGGATGCGTCTTCCTCACCTTCACAAAAAAACCTCTTCAATGAAGGCGCATCCCAGGTTTGCAGTCTCGGATGGCACCGACTCGGCTCTAACGTCTTTACGTGCCGAAAAAATCACACAAACTTGCAGTGGCAGCCATACGTCAATTATGGATGCGAGCACGCAGCAAAAAGAGGATAGAGTTGTGGTGTGTGGACGCAAGCCGCGCGCGGACTTACCAAGACGGTTTGCTTCTAGTGCCAGCTACGCCTCTGCATGGACTGTGTTATTGTAATCGCACGAAGCATGAGCTATAATCAGTCTGAACTCCATAAAAGGGGTTACGTAGGGGATTATATAGGGGAGTATTATAGCGGTTCTTTCGGGGGACACGAGGAGTTTAGGCAATGGCTCATATGAGCTGATTGAAAACATTGCTTCTCTCTCTTGATCCTGCGGACACTGCAAGCTCCAACTTGCCCCATCCAGTTGACCTACGAAAGCAGGGAGCACAGTGCTTCCATAAGTGCGAATCAAGCACAAGACTCAACTATCCATCAGAGTTCCAAAGTCCAACACATAAAGCTCAAACATCCCGATATCCAGTCCAAGTGACGGCAGCGAAGCCCGCCGCGGGCGACTCGACACTGCCATTGCAAAGCCCGGCAAAATCGAAACCTAGTACCTACGTAACTCAAAGTCGAATGTGAGCGTCTCGCGTATCTTAAGAGTGCACGCTGATGAGAAATCTCACGGATTCGGAAAAAAGCCTAAGGGACGACAAAGCACGATCATTGGGGGACTGGCCATTCAACATGTAACCCATTGTTTAAACTCCTAGTATCCTCCAGAATAAACCCTACAATAGTCCCCATATGATCCCCTGTATAACCCCCTTTAAGAAATTTAGACTATAGCTCATGTAACGTTTACCCGCTCCAGCCAATGGCCACTGACAGGAAAAACGTCCTGCACAGCTGAAGGTGCCACGATATTGCAGCTCTCAGGCGTCCAATTGGGGTTTCCTGAAATTTGGGGTGCCTTTTGAGGGAGTCCGCATGATAAATAAGGACTACAGAATCTTGGGGTCTAGATATTGGGGTCCCCCTTTAGGGAACTTACAATTGTGAGACTTCCGAACAGTAGGCTGCCCTAAACAATCTTCGGGAAACAGAAAATGTGAAAGCGTGCAGGTCCCTTTCAAGATTCTACGGAGACCATCTTGCGCAATCTTGAGCATTTTAGTAGATTCAGGGTTTAAGGGTCCATCATAATTCTGGAATGACTATAGGTGCAGCACCAGAAGGGGTATCCTTACAGAGCACAAGTTTTCGAGAGTGAACCAAGTGCCCTCGACATGGAAGACTTAAATCATGATGGGCTCGTTTACATTGGTAACAAAAAACAGTAAATTCGACCACTGCACCCATGCAATTGGGTCCAAATACCCAATACAATTGCTAGTACCGAAATCCCTAGTACCCAATTACTGCGCCGGGCGGAAAAGTTCGTCGCACGGCCATGCT